GAATAATGAATAAAAACGATAAACATAATGTGAACACAGAGCAACAGTGATACCAATTACAACAAGAACAATTTAACAAAAACAATTTAACAAAAACACTAATTTAACAAAAACACCCTCATTCAATTTTATTTACATGTCGGCCAACTTTAAAATTTTTTCTTTAAATTTTCAGACTAAAATTTAAAATTTTCTCAAAAACTAAAATTTCTCAAAAGGTTTCATCACTCAAGAGAACAATTTAAAACATTAAACGAACGAACCATTTAACTGAGCCATATGGGATACGGTCATTGCTGTTGGTACGTGCATATGCATTTGATGAGGTTCTTGTTTTGGTGTACTCTCACATTTGATCATTGCCGAATAATCAGCATTTTGGCGATACTCTTTCACGGTATTCTCCTTCTCCTTTTCAGCAGTATTGTTGTGATTGGTAATATTATTTCGCAACAAATTCGATACCGAAAACGAATTCGATCTGGACTGTGCAGCGCTTGATGACGGCGAAGATGAGCACGGCGATAGAGAGCTGGTCTCATTGCCTGAATCGCGATCAATCTCCAAATGGGTTATCAGTGATGGTGGAGCGATAGCAGTCATATGATGATGATAATACTGCTGCTGCTGCTGTTGCTGCTGCTGCTGACTGAGATGGTTGTTTTGGTAATAAGATGGAGGTGCGGCATTGGACACAGCTGGCTGCTGGTAACGTTTCATATCACCACTAGCCATATTGACATTTGCATTAATATTCTGAGATACGGCGTCTTTTGCTTCAGAGGATAACATCGGATTTGAGGATAGCATGTTGGTGAATTGTTGATTGATTGATGGAGATTGATTGGGTTGTTGCATCTGATTCAATGATCGAGTAGGAGTTGACATTAAGGGCGATGATGACTGAGCAGATAACGGCAATGATCCGCCTGATCCATTAGCTCCGAACATCAGCTGATTAGCGCTTGCAAGTTGGTTGACAGCAGCATTCGCATTCACACCGTTGCCGAACGGAAAGAATAACGGTGGAAATGGATACAGNCTGGCTGCTGATAACGTTTCATATCACCACTAGCCATATTGACATTTGCATTAACATTCTGAGATACGGCGTCTTTTGCTTCAGAGGATAACAACTGATTTGAGGATAGCATGTTGGTGAATTGTTGATTGATTGATGGAGATTGATTGGGTTGTTGCATCTGATTCAATGATCGAGTAGGAGTTGACATTAAGGGCGATGATGACTGAGC